CCAAACCTGATATACTTTTTTATTGTGAATTTTAAACCAAAGAGTGACTCTCCAACAAATGACCTCGACGGGGCTGCGCCGGCTTTTTATGCAGTCAGTCATAACTTTATATTCTTAAACTCGACAGTRAATCCCTTTGTTTATGCCTTCCAGTACACCAGGTTCAGAAAGTGCATAAAACGTATTTTTATCCGGCAAAAAGCAAGAAGGATTGGTAAAGAGCTCAGGTATTTGAAAAGAGCAAAGGCTGYTGGACAAGATAACGCAGGCCACTCACCAGACAATGAATGACTGATATCTAAAAGACTTGAGCCAAAAGGGAGTCCAACTTGTTGCCAGTTCTTAATTGTTATCAATCAGGGATAATTTTATCCAGTGAATGACATCCAACTTTCGAACCAGGTCAGCTAGAGAAATTCTATCCGCTCGATAAGGATTTATCCGGCGGATCAGATCCATAACTGCACTCACAGATAGGCAGTAATTATAGCTTTATTAATTCAACGCATGGTGTAGAGCATATATATGGCACAATAAACTTAAATTGTAGTGAATGCTTTCATGGCTMATCAATATCAACAGTRCCTGTCGATCGGGCATTCTCTAATCGCCTCTTTTGAAGGCTATGAACTGGATAGTTCTTTTTCGTGAGTGATTAAGAAMATGCTCAYCGAAACTTTGTAGCTACAGATATGCTTGTATAGGGACGACACACCTTGTTTAAAAAAMGTTCCATCAAACACATAGTAAAATCCATACAGGCATTATTGATACTATTGGTGCCGGGACCAGAAAAGTATCAGTACAGATACCGGGGTCTACTCGAGTGATTGCAGTAAAAATCACGCGAGAATGCACGATAGCATAGTGACTTTTGCTTCTTCGAGGTAAYAACCATAAAAATGGGGACTATGCATAAAATAAAAGATGGTAGCATTTACTATAACCATCAACACAATGCCCTTGTCATTTATATTATAATACAGTTGTGTAAAGAGATACATTCTACACCGTAAAAAAGTGGGTGAAGAAACGTACTGACGTTTCGGACGTTAATCCTTCGTCGGAGTAAAGAGGAACGTCAGTAAGTTGTTTCACCTTCTTTTTTACGGTGTTAAATTTATCTTTTTACACAACTGTTTCTTTAGAAACACCGACGCAGCTCACACTAGTTTACCGCTAGTTCCCACCATTTTATATATAATAGGACCTAATTATATGAATCGGTCTGATCAGGTTCTACGGGCTTTTTGCTCGACATAAAAAAGAAAACTAACCCCTTAAACCTGGAAGGCTTGCTTCATATAATTAGGCCTTTATTTGTCAACTTCGTTTTCCGGGTTTACACGGAAAATAGCTGCACAATAATGATCATAAATAAAAACACTAAAAAATATTGAATAAAAGTGGAATTAGCGATAACATGCTTATTTTCCCGAGTGTGAAATATGAAT